ATAGTCCCTCCGTAGATCCAAAGTGTTTCGATGGTTCTTACGATGCGTTGAGGAATTTCCTTCATTTAAAATCATACTATTTATCACAGCATTATATCTAATTACTTGAAGGCAGAGTTCCGAGCAACTTTTAAATTTGAAAGTATAATTTCCCTCTGTTTTAAGGAACTTGTAGAGGCGCTTAAGTAAAATCTTTGAAAAATTCCTTAAGTTCGATTTCCCTTTTAATTTTCTGGCGATGAGATTGCTCTTTTTAGCATCCTCTTTATTTGTGCTCCACCAAGGCTCAAAATTTTTCTTTTCTAGTGCTTGATGTTCGGAAACTGTAGACTTTCGTTAAGTCTTTATGTGTCGCGAATTGTGTCCTCGACCTTCATTTTGTGATTTCAGACGTGGATTTGCTTGAAGGAGGTAGCAAGGAATAGCTACGTTATCTTCATGTTGCGAGGATTGTTCACGGTGATACAATCGAACAGGTTGGTAATGATTTATGGCTTGTAGAAATTCGGCTGCTACATAGGTTCAAACCCTTTCCAACTGCTGTGGGGAATCTTTCTGGCTTTTCGTGTCGCATAATTTTGAATACTTCTGAGGTAGCCTTGACGTTTGATCGTTCACTTGCGAAGACGTTGCGTGAGACATCTGAAAGTCGTCCGTTGTTGAGAAACGAAACGAGGAACGCTGATGAAAAAGAGACTATTCTAATGACTGGTAAGCTTTCCATATTCTAGTGATAACATTTGTTAGCGTTCACTAGTTAGTGAAGTTGTGGAGGGGAATATCCATGATCGCAATCGCTGTTGAAGTACCGCATTGTTCGTGCATTGTTTCAGAACTGTCTATTCTGGCCGTAATTCCGAAATCCTCTCCTTTGGAGAGTTGCTTCCTCTTCTGATATGCCTCATTTTGAAGATAGTTTTGGATAATGTTTCAATATATAATAGTTTTCTAAGGATGAACAGCTTATTATTCATTCAGAGTTAAAAAGCTGTCTGTCTTAACCAGGGTTGTTTTACTACATTCTTCATTCACTGTGAGTAGTATACCTGCTTTTCGGTTTATTTGATTCCTTTACGTGTGATATGTATTTTAGAAGATGCATATGTGTGTCGATGTTTCCGGGATATATAATACATGAGTCATGTGTTGAAACTTAATTTTAAACAGGAATTTAGTTAGTTTTTTTTTGCTTTATCTTTTCGTTTGTAGTTTCTTGAAGAAATACCAGGCCGCTGTTAGAGGAATGTGTGGTTTTGTTGAAGGCCGTTGATATTTTGGTGTTTTGACTTCACGCTTTTCGAGAAATGGCTTGTTTGGTGATTAGTACAAGGTCTGCGTGAACCCACCTTCAACCAGCTGCGAACTTTCTGAGAATTAAGTAGGTGTTTCCTTGATTGGTTTGAACTCGCGTTTGTGATTACCTAACTTTTACGCAGTTACATAAACATTGACATGGGATAGCGAGAATTGCAGTAAAACAGCAAGCCTCAGCCCCTTCCTTTTAAGGGCTGGGTATTCGGTTGTTTCGTAGTGCGTGAATACGATATTTCAGACAGAAGTGGTTGGTCTAATTCTTGGCTGTTTGGGTACATTTGGGCTTGCTCTTGCAGGACACGGTTGAACGGTGCCACTCTCGGGCTGCAGTTCGGTAAGTTTCTGCAAAGTCCTGAAAATTCTGATAATATGGTATATAGGCGTTCTTCGGAAAGATTCGAGTTGGTCTTACCGTGCCTTTGACTCAAGTTTGACTGAATACACAATCACATCAAATATTCATTTTTCTTCATCATGAGGATTCCCGCAGAAGTAAATAGTAATACAGCAAAAATGCAACAAGAAAATTGTGAGGAAAGGGGCATGGTTTTTAGGTGTGACTGCTCGAAAAACTGGTAACTCTAAAGGCAACGCCGAGACGCTTGGAGTAGGATTTTGACAGAAGTCGGTTTGTCTGTCACCTTTTTGACTTTAGATAATTTGTAATTAACTATGATTAAATATGATTCGTTTGCGATTGTGATTCTGCGTGGTGTGGATTTTTCGCGCGGTTTTTATATTTGTGGCAGAGGGATTTTGATTAATAAATGAGAGATTGTAAATTACAATTATTCGGTAACTCTTCGCTGGTGTTTCACTTTTCTAATAGAATAGGGATTTTTTCGTAAGAGAAACTAGTAGTAGAGAAGGATTTATTAACGACAGCACTAGGTTCTGATCGGTTATCACTCGTTATCAAGCATTGGTTGCTGACACGTTGCTGTCTTATGGGCAAATGGGTGGTGATCTGTAATGAGTATTGTCGTTGCCTATCACCTTGGTGATTTGTGGGTGACACTGTTGATTCCATGGTGAACCCTCTAAAATCAACCAGAAAAAGAGATTTCCCCTCTCAAATCAATCTCAAATTCACCGGGAATGGTTCTGATTGACTTGAAGTGTCTTCCCATCGCTTCTAATAAATCTATCCAATTTTTCAAAATTATGAATAATGGAGATTAAGCCTTTTCCATCACTCTCCATAACTTGTATTAAATGGAATTCTTTCATGGAAGATTGCTGCATTCGTGCACGACAAAAGCGAGAAGAGTAGTGAAATAAAAAGGACGAGAGCGAAGAAGATTGGCAAAGCTAGATTGGTAAGTGAATCATTATAATTGGCGTATTTCGAAGTTTCGATACCCATGGCAAGGGCTGGAAAGAGTAATTGGGTGGTCGGTAAAGGCGGGAAAGCAGATGCGCGGTGCAGATCGGTGTGCGGTCTCCAGAACGGCCCAAAAAAATCAATTTCTTTTTCATAATTTTTTAAAATACTCATGTGAGTTTCTTCTTTTGTCTGGAATCACACATCATTAAATGCTAGCTGAAAAGCTAAATATTTATCGTAACACGATAAATGTGAATGGTGTTAGCTGTTTTTGTCTATGGCTATCTCAACAACTTTTTTCGGTGGTCGTTTTGAGTGATTGTAAAATGTTCTGGTTTATTAAGATGTGGCTACTTACCGTTTGTTGCTGTGGGTTTTGAAAGTATTTGAAACTAAATTAATAGGTGAATTTCAGTTTGTTCTTTTCACATAGTAGCCCAAATTAATACAAGCAGCCGATTTTGAAAAGGACCGATTCAGAGGGTTGTCTTCTATCAAAAGTAAGTTTATGTGCCATGAAGCACTGTACTCATTGGAAGTCTCACGGCACTTCCCTTTGACTTGGTGATTTCTCTTTTATCTTCTTTGCAGAATTATCGCAACGATGGAAACCACTCCCCACGTTCTGAACCAACCATGGTTTGCTGGTTCGGGAGACAACACCACACGAATGGAGCGAACTATGCGTCGGAGAGCCAGCATGGACCTCGGGCTAAACCATAATTTTACAATTGATTGTTTTTCCTGCTACTTTCTTCATTCCGCCCGCTCACACTCCAAAGTACTCCACACCAATCTAGGAACTTGGAACCACCTGGTTTTGCCAAATTTCACATGCTTGTGGGGGAGGAAATGCAGAAGCAGCTGGGACACTTAACTGGACAGGCTTTTCCTTTTTGGGAGGACAGGTTGGAGGCGAGTCTTGGCGAAATCCAGTGAGCCCTCTCTGGCTTAGTTCACGCTTATACGAACCATTCTCCTTAAAAAGTGAAGAAGTGCGCTGGGTTTTGTCATGACTGGCCGCCAACTCAACTGAAACCAACCGAACCTACATTTTCAGATATCGTTCATCCCACATTGCCAACCAGACGACTTCTCGATTTCCTGCCCGCCGCCCCCACTCCTTGCGAGACGGAAGGATCGTTAGACGATTCGGAAGCAGCTCATATGGAAACGGGTGGCACAGCCACCTGTGCTATGTGAGTAAGATGGAGTTTAGTTTGAGCTATGAGCTTCTTCAACGTAAGGCTCTCGACAGTTGAGGAAGTTATACTCAGCCCTCCGACTGACTTTGTTTTCTTCCAGATCGGAAGCTCTTCGTCGCTTAATATCGAAGCGACAAGAGTACAGATGTGGGCGCCACAAGAGGAGGGAGTTCATGAGGTACGATCCTTATTACTTTAAACTAATTGGGAACGATAGCTAATGATTTTCGCTTGGGAGCAGTGGTAACTTCCTCTTGCCACTAACTCCCAATAATATTAGTCCCGATTCCATTTTTGTGTTGCTTCTGACATACCCAACCATATCAATGAATCAAGTGGGTATTTCAGCTGGTCGTGAACTTCAATCGAAGAACAGCAATGGGAAGGAATTCATGCCATTTTTTCTGAATTCGTGCCTAGCATGGTCCTCATCAATGGTTGTCAGTACATTTTATGGTGTCGAGTTTCTCATTTTTCCTTTGGATGAATGTAGCTGAAGAACGGGACCTCTCCGGATCGCTGCCAAATTGAAGTGGTGAGAGTTTTTCTAGATCAGCAGAGGTTTCTCGTTCCGATAGTCTTCTCCCGTGTCCAACTGCCGGGGCCGGGTAATCGCTTGACTACGTGCGTCGCGTAACTTTCAGGCATTGGGGCCAGGACCTTCTGGCGCATTACTGTAGGAAGTACTGTAGTGTTCCTAAAGTGGAATTCCGTTCCCAACTATAGATCGTTGACACAAATCAATTCACACTCTAACTCTAAGCAGACTAACAAGAAGTGGAGGAGAGCTGGAGAAGTCGAGAATTTTGTGAATTACTGAACCCAATTCAGGTCACCGTCCTGTCACTACACCGACGTGACGTCACCTATCCTATAGATTCGCGATCCAATCGGGGATCGAGGGTGGGTCCCATCGTCATTCATTGTCATCTGTTGTGTTTATTAACTTATGGTAGCTGATTTAGGTAGGCCCACCGTTCACGTCAGCATCTCATCATCGACGACAGATGTGTAATATTCATTTAACTGCACGTTACAAAGGAAGTGTGAAAAATAGAAGCTGATGGCCCATGGAGCATTCGCCCACTGGTTAAGGTAAGGTCGATTTTGCCCACTCTGGTTGGAATGAAAAGCTTACTGCACGAGTTACTGAAACTGGTTTAGGTCACCGATCTATCGGTCCGTGGACATGAGTCAGCTACCCTGGGTAAAGAGCGATCCGACCAGGGATCAAGGGTGGGCATACTTGTAATAAACTAATGTGTATTCCTATTGTATTTATTACTCATATCAGCGATTTCAGGTAGACCTCATTGTCCACGATGCAAAACCCTCCACAATTTTCTCAACTCCAACTAGATGAAGTGCTTCTCATCAACTAGCTGTAATTACTGTGGAAATACCTGGCATGGAAGCATCGCGCAAGAGCTGAAGTGAGGCCCAATCCACTTACTTGAGTTGATAGTCTTATTGTTTTTCCCCATAAAAATCTTAATGAGTCAGTCAACCTTCTTCAGGGCTCTCTCCTACGGCTCCAGCGAAAAGCAGCACACCTATCCAGGCAACAGATGATCCTATAAGGGATCAAGGGTGAGTTGATTATTGTGCGCACACGGTTGTATGTTGAATCAGCTCACTTATATCAGTGCATTTAGATAGATTCCATAGTTTACCATGCCCTGCCCGACCATTGATCATCCAATCGACACCACCAAATGTGAAGGGATCGGGCCAGGATTAGTCGCTCAGAAGCGTGGGTAAGGCCAATCTCACTCTCATTAATCGAACTGACAGTAATATTGTTTTTCTGAGTCAGCAAACATATTTCAGATCGCAGTTCTTTCAAATCCTGCGACAAAACAATAGCCTATCCGAGCGCGATCCAACCGCGGATCAAGGGTAGGTATACCTGTATTGTAACGTCCTCTGTTGTCCATTAACTTATGAAAGTCAATTTAGATAGGCCACGTCGTCTGCGACGCGACACTCCGCCAGTCGCCCAAAAGCCAAGGTGAGGCCCTTCTTTCTTACTTTTATAAGATTGAATGCATTTTTTGTTGTTCGCTGTATGGAATGACCCTCCTTATACTATTCTTGGTGAAAATCGATCCCGGCAACTATCTGCTTTTGCCTGCATCTACTTTATAATGATCGCCTCCGCCGACGTCTCCATTCCATCTTGCCCCTTTGTCTTCTTTTCCTACTTATTGTTGATTCGAATAGAAGCTTTTCTTGCTATTCGGTGTCAGTATCCTTTATTTTCAAANTTTTTTTTTTCTATTGCGGTTGCACTTCCTTTTCCATTTGACCTCTGACTTGGAAATCTCTTTGATAGCACCGCGTTCATCCGATGACTCTCGAAATTCTCGACAGCCGCCGCATATCTGCTTGCTGGACGAGTAAATGTTGTTAGGTGATGGCTTAATTAAGTGAAAAGTCAGAGGATTTCTTGTTTTATTTGTTGTACACGTCTCTTCCATTAAATCCTGAAATAACTCGTCGTATGCATTTTTGTGGATCAACTGGGAAGGAATGTAATTGTATCTTGAGGGGCATTACAAAAAAACCGGTTTCATAAAAGAAAAACTATAAAATTGGGTTCAATCACCCAAGTTTGAAGTTCAAAGTTGCCTGAGGCCTGGGCCTGATGGCAGTTCTCCATCAGTATGTCGGTATTACTGTCCGGGGCTATCACCTTGACAGCAGGCAAATTGTATCCTGCTTACAGGAGTTATAAAGCCATTCGAACGAAGGATGTCGAAGAATGCTTTGAATGGATGATGTACTGGATTGTTTTTGCAATGCACCCTTTGATATTATAGAAGCGCTAGCCGATATTTTCATGTCATTTGGGTTTACATTTTATGATCAACTGAAAATCGTTTCGTCTTGTGGTTGCTGAGTCCATGGACAAAAGGCGCATCCATTTTATACCAAAAGTGGATTCATCCTACGCTCTCCAAGCGTGAGCAGGATATCGCTCATGCTGTTGGAACAAGCAAAATCCGGAAGTTATAACCAACTTGTACGTTTGGGCAGTCGCATCCTGTGGTGCGCACGCGACATTGTAGCTGAAGAGCTGAAGCAGCTCTGCGTGGTCAGGCTTAACTAGTATACCAATTGTAGAGATCATCTAGTCCTGGTGATGTTAATCGAGAACGGTCGTAGGAGCATCGGAAACTTATTCGAGTGGAGGGAATCGAAGAAATCGACGATGAAGATGGCGAGCACGACAAATCAGCAGGACAACACCATTACTCAGGAGGTGAGGAGCCCACATGCCGTCCTAAGAATCGTTCAAGATCACGTTCCGTGGAAGCCGGAGCGAATAAATTCGTTACGATGTCACGGAGGAGTCAACGTCGGCATATGTGGACATCAAGATCCACCTTTTTCTGACGTCATGCTATTCCTTTCTGTGTCTGCTTCGGTCGGCTCGAAGTAGTCCGACTCATTCATGTCGCACCTCGCATAAAATGAGATTTCCGTGTACCATTTGAGACCTACTATGGTCGACTTCAGTTCCTTTCACAGTTGATCGTATTGAAACCTTACGCATCGTCGCTGTGCCAGAGGTTCTAGCGCGGCTCAATCTTTGTGAACAGCTCTATTATTCAGGTACATGCCCACACAATCAAGTTATTTTTCTCATGTCTTGTCAAATTTTTTCTGAAGCTTGAGCCCAGTATCATTTTTTCTTCTCAGATTTTTTCATATGTCATGCATAATTATATGCATGAAATACTGGGGCATCCCTGATCGTATATGGTTCCCATTCTCGTCTAATCGAATGATTTGCTTCGCAACTTGATTTTCATTGCTCGTATCCTATTCGTTTCTCTTCTTCATTTCCTTATAGCCGAGCATCGGCTTGGGTTCGCGTTCATCTAAAGACTTTACTATGCTTTTGGTACTGATTTTCTATATTTGCTTTATACTGTTGACATGCAATGCTTTTAGTTTGGTGTCTTTCCGAACTCACCTCTTACCATTAGCTATTTCATGCGGTGTTTTATTTTCCTCTTTTTTCATAATCTTTCCTAATAGTTACTTTCTATTTGTCAATCTGTAAGTTGGATCCCAGTTTGAAGTTAATCGCATTGGCTTTGTTATGCTCACTGCACAGTAATTACCCCAATTTTATGGTTCTCCTTCTATAAAAACCGGTTTTTTTCAAAAGGTCCCTACAATTACGCTCCTTTCCTCTGTTAGGCGGAGGGCATTCCTAATGTGTTAGTTTGTGGACATGGCGATGATTAGTTTTGTTTGTCGTACTTTCCTAATAGCCCGATTTACTTCCAATTTCTCAGTCTGTAGTTTGGATCCCAGTTTGANTCACTGCACAGTAAATAACCCCGGTTCCCTGAGCGCCATGACTAAATTCTAGCCGCTCGTGACCATCGATCGCTCCAATAATCGATTAATGCGATAAAGTGATTGCAAGTTCAATAAATAGAGTCGTTTCTCTATTAGGTGGTGAGCATTTCTAATGCGTTAGTTTTTGCGCATGGCCATGATTACCATCATTTCAATCTATTTCGTCGAGAGTCTTTTCAAGTAATCAATAATAATGTCTGTTGTTTTTCAAAGCTTCTTGAGCATGCTACACAAAAATAACCTCTTCTTCCGTGAAAGAGCTCTCATTACTGAATACATCCATACCTCTAGCTGATCACAAATTTGTCTTTATCAATTTGGTAACTTTCACCCTTTCAGTGAAGTGCTACCCAATAAATGGCAATGGTCGTGGTTCCTCCTCCGGCATACACGTGAAGCATCAGTGGTATTGTTTGAAGGTGGTAATGGGCGGCTGTTCAACGGCGGCGAATTCCAACTTATAAAAAAAGAAGGCTTAAAGGAAAGGTATGCTTTTAAACCCATTAACATAAATGAAACACTCTAGAATAACTCG